CGGATATAGCTATGGTGGGTTTCCTGGTCACCTAACTAATCTCCAGAATCAGTCCGGCTGGTTGATGTTCCCTCTGCGCAAACTCACACATTCGCAGTTGTCACCCGCAGGTCAAAATGTTGTGAATTCATTGATCAACTGCGCGTCAAACGAAATCGGTGTCGGGGCAAAATCGGGACACTTTTTGCATCGGGGCAAAAGTGCGAGGCATTCTTCGGTCATATCAAAGGTGACCCGGACATCATAATGCCCCAATCCTTACTACAAGCTGTGGTTCACCCTCGTAAGTGTGTATATATTACACATATATATTATATATATAATATGTATACAGTGTAAGTATACATATAGTGGAACACACAAGTGTAGAGTATATAATATACAGGTGCGTCACCTCTGCTTCGCAGAGGCTCGCACTGGCCTTAATTTCTCTATGCCTCACTCATTCCCCTTAGTGTGACTTTGAATCTCACCGCGCTATGCAGGCTCTCACGAATGATTTGTAAACGGTTACTCATTCCCACTGCTTTTTCATATGAGGTCGGTATTTTCGCGTGGATGAAACTTTTCCCAGAGAAATAAATGCAAATTTGAATCGTTTTTGGGACTTTTTATGGCTTGGTAGTCGCCATATGGACAGTAAGCACCGTGGGCTACATCACTGTGCAAAAATCTTCACAAATAATCAGGTAAAATCTTGGCAGATTGAACATTGACGCAACTAATTCTTTCTGACGCCATTTTCGTAAAGTAGTCAACTTCAATTCAGTTTTCTGGCCTAAAGTCCATGGCTTCCACATTATTAGCTTGTCAAACATATCCACGACTTCGCAAAAAGTAGTGGTACAGACTCAATTTTGGTGGCCAGAAGCCAGGTGGATTCGCTTTACGCGCAATTTTTCGGAAATCCACTTAGCGGATCCGCTTTTGCTTTTGCACAGTGAGCTTTCATGCTGGTAGCATATGCCGTGCAAAATTTGGACTCAGGACGTTGGCTGAAACACGCTCTACGAATTTCTAACGGACAGACAGACAGACACACACACAAAAACACGTAAACAACCCTTAGCCCGTTATTATAAGTCATGATACTTGTGTGTTCCACTTTTACCGTGCTGTCTTCTTCCACTGTTACTTACAAATCATGCTAAGGTATTTATCCGAAACTTAATGGTAGAAAAAATCAGCGATCAAAAATCTACATCAGCGCAAAATGAAATAAACTACGTTGAGAAGACACTTCACAAAAAACAACTGGAATTGCACTGATATGTATCGTTCGCATCCGTTTCCTCCACTGCAGTGTAGGCGAATTCCGTTTTTTTGATAGCGTTAAGTCAGTGCTTGCGGTAGATGTCATGATGCGCTTCTTATGAAAAGCATCAGCACAAACGTAGTCTTTTAAGAACGAAAGTTTTACCTTTGACGCAAGGAGAGTTGCTCGGTCAGCATCAAGATGGTAAGCAGGCACATCCGTGCTGAATAGGTCCCAAGACAATCTCGGGCCACCTAGAAAGACACTGTCAGATTGAATATGTAGTGTGCAGCAATTATTTCTGAATCAAAACTAGCATCAATTACATAGCAACTATACACTCTGCTAATGAGAATCACACTAACCTTGAGGAATCCTAGATGTAGCCTCTTACTAGTATCAGTCAGCCAAGCATCCCAGACCCAATTGCGAAATTTACCCTGGAAGTTTCACAGCTGAAGTGTAACAAGTACAGCATCTCAACACAAATGCAGAAAACCTATTCATGTACATAAGTTTGTGGCACGGACACAGCGGTATTCTTCGTCAGCATGCTGAGAATCGGTACGGCATTGCTCATGCTAGTGATAGCTGCTACTATGCCTTCATCACCCAGTGGCATAAGTATAGAAGCACCACTGTTCGAATCAATATGATCGCGAGATGAACGCGCAGCGAGAGGTCTGATAGATTGCAGGATCTCCTCCATAATTGCAAGCATGAGTTACAGAGTTGTAGAGCACAGAGTTGTCTCCAAATTTTACTGTTGCTACAATCAAAAGAGTGTTGAATAGCCAATAGAAAACTGATGCTGGTGTTGCGGACACCATATCTGAAAACATTGAACACTCACCAAAACGAACTTGACAATACTACCGACAGTAGTGGATAATGTGCTCGCAGCCATATCTGCTACAAGAGAGGGTAGATTGCATAGCGAAAGAATCTAGAAGCAATTAAGCCACTTAAAATTCTCACTGAATTACATGTACCTTTTCAACACCATTTCCAAACCCTTCCACGAGATCTGCGGCAGCAACTTGTGTTATGATAGCTTCGAAGATCTGATGTCGAATAAATATGCATAGTACAGTTTATGTACAACTGCTTTGAATCACCTTGGTGAAGATGAGAAAGTAGTCTCTCAAAGGTGTAAAGGAACCCTAAGGATGGAACAGGTAAGTAACCTGTTTCATCCTTAGGGTTTCTTCATACTACGCCGCAGGACGCGACAGCCTGCCGCGTGCGCCGCGGCGTGATTACGCCTAGGGCAGCACACTCTGTCTATCACTGTATTTCTATATGCTCTACTCCTTGTGTTTTCCGAGTATTCATAGCGAGACTGTGCTGCCATGGGCGTACTTTTACTGCGAGGCGTACGCTGCGTGCTGCGGCGTATTTTCACTGCAGTCGCAGTGAAAATATACGCTCACGGCAGCACAGCTTCGTCGGTCATGGATGTATATCTATATATCTATATTTGTTGCACGTTCGTGTTCTTCAAAAGTGTTCCTTCATAGCGAGCGAGATTATATTTTCACTGCGAGTGCAACGGCGCACACCGCAGGACGCGGCGTGCTGCGGCGTGCCGCAGCGTGCCGGCAAGCTACTGCGTTCTGCGGCGTGCGCCGCAGCACGCCGCGCCCCTGTGGCGTTGTATGAAGGAACTCTTGATATCGGAAAGACAATCCATTTCAAGTCTCTAATGAGTAATTATGATCTTCGCAAAATGAATTTGATAATTCAGAAAAAAAGCCACCATCTGTCAGCTACACAGAAGACGTAGAAGATCAAACGGTACTTTTCTGTTATCCGGACCCATTTTTTCAAAGAAGGACATTTTTTCTGATCTTGTACCATATTTATTTCCAAACTCACAGGATGGAGTGACACCTTCTGCCACTTGTCGAATGAATTTGACATGTCATCTACACGTTTAACAGGTTTTACCAAAAGTTTTTGTTGTCCTACCTAGTGATGTTCAGTGTGTTTGGTTAACTTTGACCTCATTTCGATCAAACAGTTTCAAAGTAAGCATTGTCATAATAATAACGATATGCTATTATCGATGAACAGATAATTGCTTGGATTAGAGAAGTGCACTAGTGCATTTAAAAGGCGAAATAAGCAGCAGCAAGGGACTTTAAGATATCATTTATAGGCTTTTCTGGCTAAAATTGCATGGCGAAAAGGGTTTAAAGAAAAAGACGTTTTTGAAACAAATATTCCGCCATATTTGACAAATTTACGACGACGCGAACATAAATGAATTTGGTAGCTTGGTAACTTAGTATTTAACAGAGTGAATTTCTCAACGCACAGCCATGAATGAAGATGTGGTCTCACGCATGTAACTAGCTGGTAGTGCGCATTCAGAAGCTCTGACAGCCTATTAGCTAAATGGTCATTGAAAATTCAGAATTCTGTGCTGTTGATTCAAAAAGAAATTTGATTTACTGTCCGTTCCAGAATTGATCAACAATGTTCTTTCCCTTACCTTACACAATGTTAACTCATGCGTCTAAATTCTGACAATTCACATTTTCTGAGTCTCTGGTTTCGCACGTAGCGTTTAGAAATTAGGACAATCACAGCCTTTTCCATGATTCCGGTAGTTTCATATGAGCGATATTGGATATAGAGCTAAAGAAACGCTGGATTTCACTCACTTTTTTTTCTAAAAAAAACTGTTACGTTTTCTATTATCAAAGGCAGCTATTGGTATTAAAGTGATACCTTGGTATTACTATGGCTTATACAGTACCTTGAATGTGATCACAAGAATCCTTACTCAGACAATCGGTGCCGTAGCTCCGAAGGGCCTCAATTAACCATTGAGAGCGGGGCGAGGGGGCGGTCTTTTTATGAAGTCACGGTGACGTCACAAAAAAGGGAACACAACCCCTCCCCGGGACTTGCAAATCTCTGCTCCGGAGGTACGCCAGATTCGGGACACCTCCGGAGCACAATAGGTACGCAGCTTAGCATTTTCAAAAGTAAGCTGCGATCGCTTTCGACTTACTCTTTTTTGTCGTTCTTTCGCGCTCGTTTTTCTTTTTTTGGTTTTTCATGTTGCTCGTCGGCGCGTTGGCGTTTATGTTGTTTTAAGTTAATCGTTGTCAGGTTTGTTTCGGATTTTCGTACAGATGCACTCAATCACTTTTGGTGTTCGGCTCTCTTTTCGACTTGCTGTCGTTTTTCCGCGTTCCTCTCCGTTCTTTTTCTTTTTCGTGTTGCTCTTCGGCGCTTTTGGCTTTATTTGTTCAGATCCTTCTTTTCAGGTTTCAGGTTCTAGGTTTTCTTGCGGATGCACTTAATCACTTTTAGTATCTCCTTTCGACTTGATCTTTGACTATTGAGGAGTGGTTTTTGTGATAGATCCTGGATTTTCGAAACAAAAAGTACATAATCCGAGAATCCAACGATGAAATAGATGAAGATTACTTACGAGAATTCAAGTTTTTCCGTAGGTAAGCCACACAAGTAAATAATACGGCTTTTTTACTTTAGTGCGCTGTATTTAAGTCTGTTAGACACGGTTTATGAGTGTCCCAATGGGTAGAACGTGCCTTAGCCCGGTAAATGGAAGAGACTACAAGCTACAGCCTAACTATCGCTGCCAGTCAAATGCTACCGTAGAGCCTCCTCGAAAGCATAAGCACCGAGCTGCTATTCACGGCAAGTTTGCATTCTATTCGCTTGTTGCCGACGTTGTGATAGCATTGTTTTCGTGCTGTAAACCCTGATGGATTTCGAAAACGCAGTGACGGTAACATGTCCTCTGCTCGAACTGCCCGAGGAACTGCAGAGTGAAGTGCTTCGCAAGGTAGGTGAGCCCTTTGAAGCTTTCAAAATCCAAGTGACACCTCTTTTCCGGTTAACCGCGCAATATGCCAATAGGACCCGTTGCACTTCTTCCCAGATGTATGCGATGGTGGAAGGAAATCGGATGTCAATGGCAAGAAGAATAGTCAGATCTGTCTCTATCGCTCCGGTAAGCAATCTACAAAAGATAAAAATTTGCTTTTTTCCTTCATAATACCTTACATTCTAGAACTGGAGCGAGGTGGTCCCAGACGCAAGAACACTCCGGCAGCAGAAAGTCTGGACTACGACAAGTTTGATTTTGGACGTCTTTTCCATGTCTGTGATATCGATATGCTGCACATTGTTAATGTAAGTGCACCACTCAAAAAAATTTTTTTTGCTACATCAGCGGTTCTGGCATAGGATACAAAGTTTGTTTGTTGGCAAGAGGCTTCCTTCTTAAATCCATTGGAGAACACGGTCTCTGCAATAAACTACGCGTCCCGTGGCTTTTTACGCGAGAGCTCACAGAATCATAGAAAGAGGGTAGTTTAGCAAGCAAGCTAATACTTTGGTAGTGATTACTGTTCTATTTACTGGAATGTCATTGTAAAGTGTGATTTCAATTCCCGATCGATTGAACTGCAATGAGGGTGGAATGACAGTGCGCTTGTGAACATTTCTGTTTTATTAAGTCACGACGCTTCTAATTGGTAAACGTTTGCAGCAAAATCTGATAGAACATCAGGCAACTGTGAACTCTAGGTGTTACTATGCAGGACTCTGAAGGTCATAATGGAAGTCTTTGAACTCGAATTCTATTAAGTCTTGAACTCTGATTATTAAAATTGATTTTAATGCAGCAATTGATATTATTTACATAAAACTAATTTCAAGGCCTACACTTTGTGACAAGAGATTTCTTTGATATTATTAGTGCAGCATAATTCAGACGAGGTAACGTACTTGCTTCATCGTGTATGCCACAAATGCTTCACCATGTGTAGCACTGATTTGTTTCACGTAGTTTACAGTGTGAATCACTTAGTGCTTCACGGTGTGTATCACCACCGTAATTCGCCACGTGTAGCACGTGAGACGCTGAAACATGATTCGCCCGAACAAGGGTTTTTATGCTTTGAGAATATAAATTGAGCCGAAGTGTGTCTAAATCAGAAAATATCAAACAATTCTCTTGTTACAAAGTATTAGTCTTGAAATTAGTTTTATGTAGAATGATCGTCAATTGCTGCATTAATAATCAATCAATGATCAGTGAATTATTTTCACAATGATAATCATTGCAGTTCGACTTTACTGCATTCGTTGAGTCGCTTCTTAGAGTGCTTGTGCGGAATCAGATCCGCACAGTTTAGTTTTGGAATTTGTCGCTTCTCCTGCTATCAAGTTCTATCAGCTTGTGCCAGCTGCGAAGTTGATAGAACATTGCATTATGACCAGCAGGCAGCGCATCTCAGTCGGACTTCTCTGCTCAAGTGCTATCGTCACAAGAAGCGAAACAGGTGAGCAGTTTCCAATTCAAGACTTTACCTTCATCATAAGTTTAGCAATTCAGCTGAAACGCCTTGCAACTGGTTTCCCTTCGGAACGTCAACGTGATGAGACCTACGGACAGAAGCGAACTCAAGCTCAACGCAATGTCCAACAAAAGTTTTGTTTTACAATTTGCAGTAGATCGTTTGCAATCAATTTGAAATAAACCCAAATCGTGTGCAATGACACTCATGATCGTAGAAAATAACTGGACTGTAGCGCGTTTTTTCTCAAACCATCGAACACAGAATGGCTTTCTTTTTGAATTATATGCGATAATGGTAAGAAAGGCAGCATGTTCTTCACACACCGTAGAGCTTCCTCACCAAAATCAATTCAAAATTCTTCTTTCACAACGACGAAGAGTTGTTTTTGTTAATAGGTAAACACCTGAATAACGCAACATTTTATATGCGTTTGCCTTTTGAGTACGGCGTTTCGTTCTCTGAGTAATGAAGAGTAGTATGAAAGTACAATATTAGGCATTTCTGTCAAACTGTTATCGCATGCACGAATTATGGTAAGGTTTAGGGTGAAAGGAAGATATACTAGATTGCATCAGATTCGTCTACGAGGTGATTCGACATAATGAGTTGAGAATACTCATTCCGCATAAAAAGACCTCTGTGAAGTGAAATTATTAGGGTGATCCAAAGTATAGATCTCTTGTTTTTTTATTATGGAACTTTTCTCTTTTTTAACGATAAATGCCAGCAATGTGAACGCATTTGTATAAAGTAGCTTTCATATGTTACCCTAATATCGCTTGCTGCTCCTCCCACAAACACCTACCGGCGCTTCAAAAGCACAGAATTCCAAATGCCATCTGATTTTGAGGTGCTGCTCCCCAGAGTCTCTGACAAACATACCGCTCGAAGGGACATTTCAAGCTAATACTAATGATTATTTGAATGCAGAACTTCTCAGACATTTCAATAACAGTTACAAATTATTCAAAAGTGCGATATTTCGCCCAGATTCTGGCTAAAAACATATTTTGGTCGAGGTAATTTGCATACTCAAGTAGCTGCAAGAAGCTTTATTTAAAATTACGAGCAATGGTGAGTTTATTCGATTACATTATGAAAGAATAAATGGTACTATTCCAAACAAAACCCCAAAAATTCAAAATCACGAATTTTGCTATAAATAAAATTAAGGGGTTGCTTGACCTGGTGTTTACAAACATGATATTTATTTCGCAAAGTATGCTCTCTTTGAGGGGTTACGGGAGGCATACACAACGACACAACGACACATGGCCAACGTTTCAATTTCGCTGAAACTTTACACAGAGGATTATACATGCTGATTATAAATATCACAATTATTTCGCTCGAAAACCTTCTCCAGTATGGTTGCGGTAAGTGTAATGTAAGGTAGGGGCAGAATCCTGAGTTTGGCTTAAACTTGACCTAAAGATTTATTCGACAAGCTGATTATGAGTATCCTAATCTCCTTGCCTTTTGCGGTAATCTCATAAGTTATGGTAGGTATACGGTAAGAGTTCAAAATTGTAGATCTGCCTGACACTTTATGCAGGAGTTTCTCTATGTGCTGGTTACGTTTGCGTTTATTTCGCATGATAATTTCGTGAATTTCTGGGATTCAAACTGGCCTGAGAAATAGTAAGTGTTTGTTCGAACGCTGCCACTTACAATAACTCCACAATAAAGCGTTACTGCAGATAACATGATATTCGTGGCCAGCATGCTGAAAATCCCTCTGAGCTAAGTTATGAGCAAATTGAAACTTCGACCTTACGTAAATACACCTACCGTAACCCAATACAATCTCTCCTTGCAAAAATAATATAATACACATGTTCATCGTGCTATGGGTTTTGTGAGTTCCCCCCTCCCACCACCTAAAGTAATCAATGAAGATGTTTTGGTGCGAAAAAGGTATGATATTTGTGATCAGCATGCCGAATAATCCCTATGCAAAGTTTTAACGCAGACTGAGATTTTGACCCAATAACGTATGCCTACCTCCTCCCGAAGAACCTATCCCATGCTTCGTGATTGACAAGTCTACCCCCCCCCTCTCCACCCTCCTGTTGGATTTTCAATCTGCGATCTTTGGTTTTTCGGTAGTATCAAGTGGAATAGCGCCGAATAAGTGGTATTTCTTCGATTACTTACTGCCATATCTTTTGTTGCGATGCATTGGGACAAGCAGACTATAGTGGAATTGGTAGCAGTCCCCTACCTATTGTCACCGATATTCTTGGTAGACTCACTTGTTTGCTTGTGGCGGCGCTGTTTAGAATTCGAAACCAATAAATTGACGAGCTTTGAAATTTCAAGAAAATTGGGCCATGCGACTTTGCTTATCTATAGACCCCAATCAGAAGGTTTTTGATTTGTACTCACATTTGCGAAAACTTGGGATATCTAATTACATGTTCTTTCAAGAAAACTGCATTTATTCTCTAAGTGCCCTTACCTTTAAGTCACTTTAATTGAACTTTCCACCCCTAGAAACAAATCAAAATGATGTTGCTGTTGGGCTGTTGAAGTACCTCCGCACGTAGTATCTCGGCAATTCCTGAGGCCCAGCCCCATAGTTAGTAAATATGTCCAGGTTTCACGCATTTAACCCGCTCAAAATCTCAATTTCTAAACCTCAGTTTGTTTTCGAATACCATTCCTTTCAATGGGCTTAGTCAATCAAATTCTAGGAACACTTCGTTTGCTCCGTTCCAACATTTTGTTTTAGGTTGTGCACAGCTTCATTTTTATTTAGTTTGGAATTCGCGGTTCTTGGAAAATGCATAGGCTTTTTTAATTCGTTATTAAAAACTAATCGATTGTATAAGGCAATTATAAAATCGTGACAGTGGTTGACGCGTGCGTCGCGTATGCTGTATAATTTCACGAACTGAAATCTTTTTCGAACGAACGAATATCTAGTTGATTCTCAAACTTTTTTCGAATGAACGATGGTTCATTTACCGATTTTTATATTATTCAAATTGTCGATCTCATAGCCAACTTTACCGAAAAAGTAATGACTCAGGTAAAGGCCACTGCATGACGAAGGCGCAGAAGCACTATCAGTTGAGCAGACGCGAACGCGATGCGCGCACATCTTCACCCCCATAAATCCTGCGCCTCTTGCCTTTGCGGCTAATAAAGCCACGTTCGCGCCCAATGATATTGCGCCTTCGACATGCAGCGGCCTATAATTTTAAATGTATGTCCAATAGCAGCTTCTTGTTCTTTCATCAAACTTGCACAAAAAACTGTACCTGTGATGCTTGCCTAGAATCAGGTTAATGCAAAACATGTACTTTAGCGCCTCATAATATTTCAAAATTAGCCAAAAGTTTACGTTTTCTTACCAAAAGATAGTTGTTTGTACCTAATAATGTTATGGCGGTGAAAATCAAGTGAAATTGCTTGAAAGATGCGAAAGCACTCGCAAAGCTTTGAGAGAGTGAGCTATGAGAAACGAGAATGTGAACTGTGGCAGATAAGGATTGCCAAAAAGTGATAGGTTGTCAGCATGGAGTATTTTTAAGGCAATCTGATAGCGTCTTTTCATCGAGCCAAAAAGCACTAGAATATTTAGGCACAGCTCCGCCCCAAAGTTACAGTTTCAGAATTGTGAGCGAAGGGCAGCTGTACCCAAACATTTAGAATTGAAACTTTAAAGTTAACTACCTGTATTACCTAAAACCTTGCCGATTTCGTGTTGCACGAGCGCAAACTAATGATGCATGTATACTAATTTGATAGTTTGTTTTTCGAAAGCCTATCAAATATTTGTGTTGCTCTTCTCTGCCACAAAAATGTCGTGTGGTTGAGTAATGTTCAGCCAGTTGATGAAGTTACGACGATACTACTAGCTTGGATAAATCAAGTAGCTCGCCCGTTATCTTAACAGTGTTAAACTCATGGGTCTAAATCCTGACAATTCACATTTTGTGAGACTTGGTTTTGCACATACCCCTTAGAGAATAGGACAACCACAGCCTTTTTGCATGATCCTGTAGTTTCTCATGAGCGATGTTTGTCATAGCGGCTAAAGGAACGCTGAACTTCACTCATTTTCTAGAAAGGCTGATATGTTTTCTATCATCATAGGAAGTAATACTTTGATATTACAATAGCTTATATAGGTGTGGCACACGACTTTTGATTACGGTCTTTCCCGCTGACAATGATTTTGTCTCACACACCTTTTCCCAGCGTTACCGTTTACCTAAATATGCAGAACACAGAGGATCATCCAACCAAACATATTCAAAAGTAGATGTCAAATAAACCCTGTGGATCAAATTTTGACGACTTTTGAGGTTGTCAAATATCGGACCACCAAAGCTAAATGGTCATTTTCGAACCTGGTTAACTCTGTTTCAAAAAGTTACCTGCTTCTTTTTGCAGTCATCCCGATACATCAGTCCTTCTTTGTCCACACTAGGGGCCACTCATAACCGATCCTAAAAATACACATTGCAGTGGCGGTTAGCAACATTTCCGTCCGGGGGCCGCAAAACTCTTGAGAAGCATTCCAAAAAAATCTGTGCGTGATTAATGCCACGCACCTCTATTCGAAAAATTTCATTGCCCCCCCCCCCCCTAAACGGAAATCCTGGGCTTCACAACACATGATATTAGGCTGTTAACTAAGTTTTGCAAATGAGTCCGCATTTTTCAATTTTCGATATTGGCTCAAATTTAGATATTGTGTAGATTGCTATGTGGACTAAAACTGGCACAAACCGCTCGCTTTCTAATAACGAGATAAAATCTTAGAGTTTTCCAAAAGTAGTGAAATTCAAGAATTCATGGAGTTTTAAGTGAATATGAAGCCGTTCGTAACCTAGATCATGCACAGCAGCCAGAATGTGCATAAATTACTAGAGGATGTCTTATCTAACGCAGTAAGAAAGAAAAGATTTTGAAGACAACTCAAGTTTTTGCGCTCTCACAAAGTTGAACGAGCCGCTGGACGCAAGCAGCTTTTAGTCAAGCGTCAATCCCTGAGGAGTAAGTGTCAGAATTTGCCAAACTTTCATGGTGGGGTCATTTGCCTTGCCGAATACGAATATCATACGCATACCAAAATCCGAAATACTTCAAATCTAGCAAGACACTGCATTTGAGTGCGAGAAGCACCATCTCAACGTGAAGTCTAACTAATTTTTTCAAAGTTATCAGCCTGCAATGTTCCATCTATGCTGCAATCTGGAATTCGATGTACCTGGCTCATGATCAAGGCCTGTCAGGCTCAGTGCAGAGGTTTTTAAGTTTATCCAAAACACACGTTTACTGCATGGTTGTTGAGCATATCACGTATTTCCAGGAAATTTATCTCACGAATAGATGTTATTTCTAGGCCATCTAGGCTACGATCTGTAAGTTCTAAGGTGTGTTTTTTTATCATTTCCGTATGCAAATAGTTTCCTACTAAGAAGATATTCCCACTATGATTATATTGAGGACGAAGCAGTGGTTGCAGAAAACTTCTTATACCATTGAAAATTTATTCAGAGTATTTATTGCCATGGTAAGATTTATTGTTGTACAGACTTTCACTCACAACAATCAAACGCGTTTTTGTCTCGCAACTTCGGCAAAGGCATTTTTTTTGCACACAAACGATCTAATTTCAATGTGACAATGTAAATCGTCCCATCTTTGGTAGTTCACAACTCCTTCTAATTCTGCACGTGGATCTGGCCACAGCTGAAACAGAGATCACATAAACCTTTCAATTCGGCAGAATAACGATGCTCCAGTGACAGTCGTTTAGATAGCTAATTGCTCTTATCATAGATTTCATGAGATATTAGGTCAATGCAAAGATAATGGCCGTTTTGGAATTCTCATTAAGTGCTATAACGTTCTAAAAAATCCACATTTTTTAATGCGGTAAAAACAATCAAAAGCAGCGATTCCTCCGCGATACAGCGCACATTTATTTATACTCACAACATGAACGGGAAGAAAAATACGGCTAAAGGACAAAAAAGGTTTTTTTAATTTTGTATATTTGACAATTCATAACTTCCTTCAAAATTTTATGAATGACAAGTGGCTTATCTTGCAGTTTCAAGTCAGAAGTTTTTCAACTTTTTCCAATGTGCTTCAAAATCTCAAAAACGATATTCCGATTTTCTGCGTACTGTGTTGAATTTTTTGCAAAAACAGCTTAAGAGCAAAACAGCACGCTTTTCGTGTACGCGTAAGATTTGAAAACTGGAGGAGGAGATTTTACTCAAAAAAAAAAAACACCGGCTCTATCAATAGCAATTGAGTTTTGCGTGTTAGCCGAGCAACACAAGTTCACCCAACTCAATTATATGTCTACTTGTTATCTCAAAAAGCACCACCTGCGCCAGCATTTGAGACCTATTTATTTAAAAATGGTACCTGCCCGCATTCTTGTACTCCACCCATGTTATCTGGTTGACCTGGAGCCCATAGTAGAAAGTCAACCTTTGTGCCATCAGTCCAGGTCCAATTCAAATGAGCATAACGTTCCAGACCAATCCAAGTCCCTTGTGTAGAATCGTTAGTCATATGCCTACCCGATTTGGCAAGCTCTGAAGATCACGTTCTGGAACTCAAGTCCAATTCACACAAAATAAATTACCAGCCACGAAAAGGTTTTCGTCATGACTGTGGATTGAAGTCAAATGTGCTCCAACAGTTTGACATAGATTTTCGGCGCTTTGAAAAGTAGCATGGAAGAAATTCTTGAAATGACTTTGTTTAAATGACAGCCTCAAAACTCTTATCACAACATTGTAAATGATGTAAGTATAAGTACTGCACAAGTACCATACTACTATGTGTCTGTGTCTCGCTCAACTCAGACAATTGCATCGGAAAGTTCGCGGCCTCAAAGCGTGCTACATGGGCGCCGCGGCCCTTAAAATTTCGGCCGCGCACGCCGCGGCCCATGTATATTTCACCGGGAACGCCGCGGTCAAAGTTGAAATTGGGAAGAGATTATCGGGAGAGTCGCGGCCCAATCACCTCACTCGGCGTGCCGCGGGCCTTATCAAAGGCCGCACTTCTTACACGCTACAGCTTAAGGCAGAACCCGCGTGAGGTACGCCGCAGCGATGGGGCTACCCTAAGTGTCTGTGAGGCTGCTAATCGCTTCTCGGGTTGGGCTATGTGACAGTTGAGTTTATATGCTCACAAAACAAACTTCAGCAGTCTTGAGTGTCATCGACGACAGTAGATGTGTTGACAGATGAGCTAACAAGTTGCTCAATTTGTACTCAGTCGTTGTCATGAGAGACAGGGCAAAATTTTTTCACTCTTTCTAGGCCTCACAAGCATGCTAATCGGGTCAACCATCGGACGCTTACAGGATGCCGCGTCACTTATCGGGTCCAATATCGGTTTATACCGGGCAGCTAGCGGCATGGATGATTGGTGGCCGAGCAAGCACCCGCGAACTTCCCGATGCAATTGTCTGAGAACACAGCCATACATAGGTAGATCGCGATTTGGAGACATGGAGCCCTCAAAATTCTTTGGCTGTTTCCTACAAACAAAATCACATCCTGCATAGTCTGCATGTCTGCCAACACGACAGAGGTAGATTACCAATGCCTCTTATGTCACAAGATTTCTTGTTGCTATTTGAAACTGCAGGTCTTTTATTTCAAAAGTGCAGCCATGTTTTCCTCGTGTAATTGTTGCTTCGCAACAAACGGCTAAGATACTCACTGCAAAACCTACTCTACAGGTATAATATGGCCGGCTACCTTTACGTTGGTCATAGATTTACTATCTCTTATTTGACGATAACTTCGCATCGTGGAAGGAGCAAGATCACAAAAAGAGGTTCAATATCGAAGTTCCTTGTTGCGAGCATGTCTTGTTCTCCTCAGTCATGAGGTTAAAACAGGTCTACTCCTTTCAAGCTGATTTATGTTCAGTGATATACGGCGTTATACCAAATTTTTGGTGTTTCTCTATTAGACTTAACATATCGAGCTGTCTGACTAACTGGAATATAGTTTCGATCGAATCTGTTCAAACGTACTCCCACTTTTCCAATTTAGGCTTTGTCAAAGGCTTAGCAGAGCCATAAACTCAAGGTTGGAAATCGTCGACTTTGATCGCATCTCAGCAAGTTCGCGCAGTTAGCTTGTAACGGATGCCATTGATGTCCAGTGGGTCAAGGCTCTTATGTGCGCTCGTGAAATTACACAGTGATAAATACGGGGTGAATGTCACTGCTAATTAACAGACATTCATCTATGAGATTCATTTTTGGGTCATTTTTGAAATCAAACTTTATGTTCTCGCACTGGTAGCCTTTACTTAAGTCTACCCTGACAAAGCGGAAAGAACTTGGCAGTGCGTTGCCCAAACTTAAATAAAGCTACCATCTTCATGTAGACCTTCAAAAAAGATGTGAAAATCGAAACCGTCAGATCTAATGAGGATCCACCAGAAATTATTTTGGTATACCGGCATACCAGGCACTACAACATGTCCATTTGCAACGAGCAGGGTTCACTGAGTTCATGTTTTTCTTTACTGGAGTAACTTAAAAAGCTTTTTGTTCTGCAAAAACTCATCTTCTATACTGTCTTACACTAGCTAACAGGCACGGGAATTCCAAGCTTTGCTCGGTCCCTCAATACACAGTATTCATCAATCCGTCCCATTTCTACATAACCTTTCCCTGTCTTTGTCTCATTTCTGTATGCCAGCCTTACACCCATGTTTCCTCATCAATACTCACTTACCCCCTCCTTGTACCGGCTTCTAGCCCGGCAGCTTACTCAAACATTTGTAGTTAAGTCAGCAAGAATTCACTCAGAAAACGAAAATTATGAAAAAAGGTAGCCTTGCGCGAAAAGCTTTTGTTATCCCGCCCTTAGAGCCGGGACGATGAAATCGCGTGATATATGACGACACACGACCCTAATTCGCAAAATCGGGGTGTCGCGCAAGACTACCTTTTTGGTCCCGTAGTTTCAAGTCCCGCAAGACTGTGCTGGAATTGACCACAAATGTCTGAGTTAACGCTTTAGGAAATGATTAAATCGTATCGATAGATATGCCTACCCTCTCTCTCCCCCTCCCCGATATATATGTGCGCAAAGTTTAGTCCGATTTTGCTCAGAAATGCATACGTGAATGCAAGAAAAATTTAACTTCATAAGATAAAGGAAGCATGTTGGCATCCATGCAAATTTTGCGCAATAGTATATCACGTGGTCAAGGCGAATTTGTTTGCTATTCGTGTTGCAATGCAAAAATGAAAAGTACAAATGAAAGTGTGTAATACTGTTACACACCCCTCACTTTATAGCAGGCGTTTGTTTCATCAAAATATGTCCATCCACTTTCGCAGTGATCGCGATATCCTAAAAAGCAATTTTGGTATGAACGAGCAAAGTTACCTTTGCGCACCCGTGGAACTTATACAGGGTGTCCCAAAAAAATGTGAACACTGTTTGATCGTTAATAACTCCGTTGCTTTCAAGTCTTTCGCCGAGCTTGAGGCCCCATTTTGTAGAGCGAGGTTGAGCTTAGATTTGCAGTATGGAGCGAATCATCGATCGCTTTCCGTTACTGTACGATTACGGTATGAATTTTTAACATATGGATCCATCGTGAAATATGCGATTTGACAAAATTTTTTTCCAAAAAATCTGGAAAATCGTGCACTAGGGTTTTCGCGCACGCTGATTCCACTACACAACTTTTTGCGATGTTTTCAGCCTTTTTGACGGTGTAATCACACTTCTGACAAATGCTGGGAAGTGAGTTATTACGATTTACCGGGGATAACTTAGGAAAGAACCATCACAGTAAAATGGGAATTTTAAATTTGAAACCAGCGGCTGCCATTACCATAGTATAAGACTTTTTGGCTTGTTTGGTTTTGTTCCGAGGCAGAATATGGCCTACAATTGCCTAAAATCCTTGTCGAAGTTCTTACCGTAATCCTACAGTAATGAAGAGCGATAGATGATTCGCTCCATATTGTAAATTTAAGTTGAAGCCAGCTCTACAAAACGGTACCTGAAGCAAGGCAAAAGACTTGTTGGGAAGAAAGATATTAACGATCAAACAGTGTTCACATTTTTTTGGGACACCCTGTATAAGTGCGCTTATCAGGAACTGTTGGTGTTAAAACATGGGCATACCAAATTGTGATTTCAAACAAAAGTTTCTATGAAGAGTAAGGTGATTGGGCTTTATCAAGCATGATGACAAGAGAACAAAGCCCTCAAAACAACTCATCGTCACCAACGTTCTATCAGAAAATCAAAGTCTAACGCCAACACTTCGTCTCTAAACACCAAAAATGAACATTTGACGAACCTGCTTCAGAACGATCAAGATCAGTTATTTGAGGTTGATCTGCACTTCTGTAAAATTAACTTTTCACAAAAGCTTCATGGAAATTCAACAGACCTCATGATTAGCTCATGGCTGTTTGGGCGCAGAAATGTTTCTGCCAGTGGAAATAAGGCAACGACCAGGAATTTCATTGGGCTTGTCCTGGATACATGATTTCGTAATCGTGCGATATTTCATAGTTGTACAACGATTGAATTTTCAATCAAACAGTCTGTTAAGGGAAGGATACAACATTAGTCGGCGATTGAAGATGAGATGTATATCAGTAGCCAATAAAATCTGGTTTCAAATCTGCTTTCCTTTTTGAGAAACAAGTTTTCGAAAGAAGTTATGAGCGTTTGAAGTCCAAATTTGTCAAGGTTTAGGTGGCCTAAAATTGGCGAAGGCTGTACAAAAACATCGGAAAGCACGTCGGAAAGTAGAGAATCAGTTTGGTATCGAGCATATTATTTGCAATGGAGGAACAAAGCTGTCGCTTAGGGGTTGCTTTAGAGCTTTTCGTTGATTTTAAGCCACTCAGTGCTTGGCAAATTTGGACATTCAAACGCTCATAACTTCTTTCGGGAACCTATTCCGCAAAAAGAGAAAGTAGTTTTGGAACCAGCGTCCAAAGACGCGTTTAAAAATATACATTCCATCTTCAAATCGCCGACTAATGTTGGCGTCCTTCCCTTATGAGACGATGCGAAATGAATATGCAATTTCATTGTCCGAGTTGACCATATAGTGGTGCCTGGCATATAACTGAAAGTATCATTGTTCTATAGGTCTAAGCATTCATATTGGTGGATGAACCCTTTTGTAATAAAACTTTCAATTTTCATGAATATTTGCCATAAAACTTCTTTCCACGTCCAAGATCACGATATCTTCACATCTTATGGTTTTCTTCAGAGTTATTTTGACGATGTCAGTGCACAGAATTTTCGGATGGAGAAACAAAAACCTGTGTCAAAAAACAAACTTTTAAAAAAGGCTATAAACTCAAGCTATTCCTTGGCTTGTTTTTTCTAGGCCCACAATTCCTCTACTACCTCAAAGTTTATTTGTGCTGTCAACAACCTACGGTGGTATTTGTTTCCGAAACCATCATACATATAATATAATGGTTCGTCGTCTCATATATTAGGTTGGCACATAAGTTTTGCAACTTTTCCCGTAACTTTTTTCTTATTTTATGTAGCAATCTCATTTTGTGGCTTCATGTAGATTGTAATGTAAGCTGCAAGTCTGCGCAAACCGTTTGATTTTTGATAAAGTAGTACATGAAATCTAAGCATTTTTTGAAAACTGCTAAAAATCGAGGTTTCACGATTTTTTGGCAAACATGAAGCCCTACGAAACCTGATTCAAACATATGGAAAAGCAATTATAGGCAGCATGTAGCTGGAAATTGGCGCACCGGAATCAGTGAAAAAGAAATGAAATTTAACCACAAATTAAGGTGGGGCGCCTTTGAGAAGTTGAACAAGTCAAATGCGTCAAGTTTTGAAGGCAATTTGTCAATAACTAAGCTGCGAAAGGTCAGAACTCGCTATAACTTTGCACTATAGGGTAATCCTATGCGATAAACACTAATACCATATTCATTTGTCGCTAAAATGAAATTCCTCTTTTGATCTCACAAACGAGGCCTTTTCGTGCGAAGCGGATCTCATTTTTGTGATCAGCATGTCAAATAAGCCCTATAGGCCAAGTTTCAGCAAAATCTGACGCATTCTAAAATTTTCCCATGGTACCGTAAACCTACCGTAATCCTCACATAAGGTGGTAAAATTCGGCAAAAATGTGTGCATTGGAAGCTTACATCATATTCCTTATACTGCCAAAAAATGAATGCGCTACGTTCAAAGAGACAAAAGTTACATAAAAAGTTGCATTACTTATGTGCCAACCTAATATAAAGCTAAATGACTGCTTAATTTATGTGTATCTGTGGTCTGTATACGTATCCTTTGCTTCAACCGCCCTGGCGGCTGGAAGGGAGCTTCTTGACCTGAGGCTAGGTAATGATCAGAGAGCACGCAAGCGAGAGAGAAGTAGACTGCGTCGCTGGCACAATCGGCCTTAGAGGCCCCGTCTTCCAGCCGCGAACCAGTTGCATCAAAGGTTATGCTCCGAATAGAAACTTCCATTTCTAGACCGATTCAGATCACTCCTTAAACACATACACTGTGGGGTGGCGCGGGTGCAAACTCCTTTTGGTTGCCAGTCGACATCGATATTTTTTGCAAAGGTTGAGCTACAGGGATGGGAATTGGCATTGGGGCAAATGAACATGCTGATTACGAATATATCATCAATAGTGTCGGGTATATCCATTGTTGCAAGGCAGTGATTACTTGATACATTTATCTTTCGCTGAAATCTCAAAGGAGAGTACTTTTAATAGCCTTAGCTGTCCGATATGAGATAATACCCGGCTAAAGCATTCTTAGGCGCAGATTTCAAATTTTCATTCTGTTTCTGCTGAAAATTCCTCTGAAAGGATTTGCGGGGGTTTGAAAACCCGTTTTTGGGGCTCCTTAAAGGCAGTGTCCAGGCTAAACCTAACCCCCTCCGATTAGCGTCGATCCTGAATGTAGGCCTCAGGAAAGGGGCATCTGCGTTGGTTCGGTTTTTAACGTTGTCTCTGAATGGAGATAAGGGGCCTGAAAGTCCCTGGCTGGGAGGATTCTGATATCAGACTCCGCCTACCAGGGACTGCTCACTACCTTGTCAATATGCCTCCCACACGTATTGACAAGGTAGTGAGCAGAAGCTGCACACTGCACACTGTAATGCAACTGCACCCATGCAGTTGCAGCTTCTTCCCGCTGGCCTGCCGACGGGGACGAGCAATTCGAAACTCGTCCGCACCCTCAAGATTGGGTCCCCAAGGATCGGGTTCTTTGTGACTTCTAGAAAGTTTGAAGTTCGGAACTGTAATCAGGGCCACGGAAAGGCCCCAGAATGACGAAAACATAGGAGGCCAAATTCTGGGTGGACGCTGCCTTTAAGTTCGTAGACCTTGTTATGTAGCTTAGCGATGGCAGTGGAGTAATGTTTAGTTTCCTGGCGGTAGAGACGAGAAATCAATGGTTCGCAACGGTGGAAATGTTATTGCATGCACCTATGCCAGAAACTCTTCAGGTCAGATAACCAAAAACACCTTTGTAATCGTTTGTAGACGGCTTCAAGTGCTTATGTAACTCACACTCGAAATGCAAGGAGTTCGCTCTTTACAGGAATCGAACCCTTGACCTATCGCCTCTAGTGGGAGCACGCTAACCGCTACACCACCACGCCACCAACGCCCGAAAACTAGATTTTTACCTCCATAACTCTTTCCAGGGAAGAGTCCTGCAGAAACGGAAGGCAGATTTGAAATTAGCGCCTAAATACTTTAGCCGACATGCATCTCATATCGAACGGCACCAGCCATCAAAAGTACTTCCCTTGTCAGTTTGATAGGTCATACAAAAATGTGAAACAAGTAAGTAAGCAGCAGGCTACCTCAATTGTCCCATGACTATTTAGTTCTTGACCGATTTTTTGATCATTTTTTTGCTACAGTAAATGCTCATCCAAAAATGCTCCCAGATAAGGAAGCCAAATTTGGAATCAACGTTTATTCTCTCCAGGATATCAAGCATTCCATCTCAAATAGCCACTTCGATAACGATCCGTTCCTTGCCGTACAAATATTGTGAGCACGCGGCTGCTACTCGGGCAATCGCCGGGAATAGGCAGGCACTGAGCACTGGTAGTCGCAAATTCTCGCACTCCACCAACAGATTTGCAAGATAAAGAGAGCCATTTTTTGCGAAAGCGCTGGAGACTTCTTTCTCGCCCTAAGTCAGGTACATTGGCCTTCATCAGCAATGGAAGAAATCAACAAAAAATGTCAGAAACTACCGTTCGCTTTTCTGGATTTGTGGGTTTGCGCGAAAACAGTAATTTCTTCTTTTTATTCTCCTTACTGTCTGGATAACGGCCCTTTTTGGCAATGCGCGGTCATAAAATTTTTCGAATGGACCATCCGCAGTTCTCGTTTTATTTCCTTACGTCTACGGCTCAACAAAAACACTCGTGCAAACCTTTAAACTTACTAAGCGATATGCATATTATTATCGGGCATGTTAGCCTTTCTAGATCATGGCCAAATATGAGCAATCTAGCGAGCGACGCACCTTACCAGACTCCACAATTCTTGTACGCTGCAAGCGTAAAGGTTACGACCAAGATAAGACACTGCTTGGTGATGGGGTTACCCTCAAAATTTGGTTCGTTGGTTATTCTTTTTTCGTGCCAAAAGAGTTAGAAGTCAACTGATCACGAAACGGGACGATTTTCGGCACCCTCGTGATGAAGTGCTAGATGCCACAAATTGCAAAAATTACTTGCATATATCGTGATCTTTATAGGAAGGATGCGAACATGCAACATCGGGCTAACCTTACATATTGGGCCACGCGGATTTATTTTCCACCTTCGGGTTGTTTCAGACTGCCGCACTGACAGCAGCAGTCTGCAGCAGATTGCAGCTGGACGTACTGATCGCAGCAGACCGCAGCAGACTACAGCAAACTGCAGCAGACTGCAGCTGAACGCGCTGACTGCAACGACAGCGGCTGAAGCCTAAAAGTGGAGAGGTTAAATAGTTGTGGCTCAAGCAAACAACAATATATACCTAAAAGCAAAAGACAACAGGAGCTAGAATGTTACAAAATACGTATATGCAATGAGAGGAGTAATTAGAACAAATACGAACATACCAAAGAAAAACTACCTCCAAAATTTGAATGAGAAGAATTGTGAACTTATGTTCTTCTTAGGCGTAAATCGCGTGTTTTGATAATCGCAATTGTTTTTTCTTTTACGAAAGGAGGCAGCGACCGATGCGGTCAGTGCGGTCAGCTGCAATCATCTGCAGTCTGCTGCGGTCAGTGCGGCAGTTTGAAACAACCCTTCGCAGTACACTTGTCGGTGCAGCAGCGGATACTATTCGGGCGCTTATAAAACAATCTGCTAGTGGCCAGGTATTGTAGAGGACTTATCGTCTTCTTGTCTGCTGAGTAATCGGCTGGTGCTTGTCACAGATGTTTAAGCATATTCCACACAGGTGCATCCGCCGGCCACAAACATATATCGGTATTGAGAATTTTATCAGTCTATTGATTTTCTTATGATAATGCCAATATTATGTGCTCTTTAATTTCTTGCTTGTAATGTTCTTTACCCCCCACAATGGTCGGTCACCTCAACTGGGGTAAGGGTGACAATAGGTGTCGAACTGCGATGCACAACTGAGTGGACTCTGACAGGGCCTTCCAAGCTGTGAAGAAGTTCGACGTTTCCGGTCGGCCGGATGTTTAGCTAAAAGCCGACCGGGCCACTTCCACCGCCGTCTGGTTTTCTGGTCGCTAAGCGGTCTTCCCCGCTCCAAGCCCGGGGTCAGTTCGCCCCGTGAAAATCAAGAGTAGGCTTAATAAGTCCGCTCTTGTAGGGAAACAAATATTTTTACTCCGCCAGCAAGAAGGTATAGGAAAAACCATTCACTCGGATTCCCCCTACGGCGGCGGGTGGTAGCAAGAACGATGTCAGGGTCTTTGGGGCGCCTTTTGGATCCGACAAAAGCGATACGTCTGCTTGGACCACACGCCATGGAGACTGCCTCATGCTCTGCGCCCACAACCTTAGGACAGTCTCCACAAACGCCGACCTCCACGCTCTTCTCGACGCTGCAGATCACATCAAGTGTCACGCTATCGCTCTGCAGGAAGCGAAGTCCAGGAAGAAGGACGTGCGACGGATTAGTGAGGGGAAACTGATTTCGTGTTGAGAAGCTTCCATCACGGGATGTTGGAGGCGTTCGTTTTGTCGTCCACCCATTTATCGTCCATCTTGTCGATTCACATGAAATCCTATCGCCTCGACTAGCCATCCTACGACTACGACTTCCACGTCAGAAGACCATCAGCATCATCAACTGCGATTCTCCAACATCAGCGGCCGGCGAATCAAAACTGTGCTTTTTACGAAGACGTGGAGCAGGTCGTCCGCAACGAGGAGTCTTTCTACAAGTTCGTTGTGTGCGACTTCAACGCGAAAATCGAGATTCCACTAGAAAAGGAATATAGGATCGGGAAGTTTGGATATGGGCTCCGGAACAAAAACGGCAACCGTCTCGCTGGGCTTCTCTCCGCCGCACGACTCTTCCATGGGAATTCCATCTTCATGAAGAAAGAACATCGCCGGTGGACTTGGGAATCGCCCAGCGGAGCGACTCATGCTGAGATCGACACATTCTCACCAACCGAAGGTGGAGCTTACTCGATGTCTCTGTAGTTCCATCCTTCTGTAGTGGCTCCGATCACCGCCTCCTTCGAGCGGAGGTACGACTCAGCCGAAGGCTGGAAAAGAAAGTCTGTCATAGTGCCGCGAGAAAAAAGGAAGTCGTTTATGATTTATGACGGTGACAGGCTGGAAGAGCTCATATCAAGCTGTGACTGGCCCATCGAGGAGGACCCAACGTACGACTACGACTGGCTTCTGAAAGGATTGAGAGCCTGCGGAGTATGCGCCTTAGTGACTTCCGAGAAGAACTTGGAACGCATTTCGAAGACCACCAAGAAATTGCTCGAAAGAAGGAGACTTTGAGGCAGGATCCGAATTCAACCCATCTCGAGCGACTGATTGCCAACGCCAGTTGCAGAACAGCTTTGAAGGAGGATCTCAGGAAGTACAGGCAAGCCAGATACTGGAAGCAGCCAAGGAAGACGAAGTCTCAAAAAGTGCCGAAAAAACTTCTGTGAATATCACGTTTCGCTGGCTGCACTATCGAACGAAAAAGGGACTTCTTTTCGATACATGATGAAATCTATCGCGAAGAACTTCTACACCAACCTCTTCCGCTTGGGAACAACGAGCTCAACACCCGTGTCGATGCCCGTTGTTCCCAATGAAGAAGTATCACCACGAATTCTACTTGCTAAAGTGTGCGCGGTGATTCAGACCATGAAGACCACGGCTCCAGGACTAGACCTTCTTTCCGTCAAACTTCTGCGAGCCGGAGAACACCGTACACGAGGCTCTTACGTCGCATTTGACGTCTTACCTTTAGAAGAAGAGGATCCCCGACCAGTGGAGAACATCAATCCTTGCTCGCATACTTAAGATACTGGGTGAAGCTCAACCCCAAGAACAAGCTAGATTTTGCAAAGGATTCAGCTGCGTGGATCACATCCAGACGGTTGAGAGTCATAGAATCTGCCGGGAGCGACTGCTTTTCGTCCCAACCTGCGTCGATTACGAGAAGGCCTTTGGCAGCGTCGAAATCAGCGCCATTCTGTCAGCGCTAATTGATCAAGGAGTGGACCCAGATTGCGTGAGGACGTTAGCCGACTATTACAAGGACTATACAGCGAGATGCATATGTTCCATTGCTCCCCCCCCCTCCCCCCCCGTAACCATCCCAGTTGGTAAGGGTCCGACAAGACACCTCGCAGAAGCTATTCACTATGGTCAAGGTAAATGTAATGTACTGTAGGAGCAGAATCCTAGGTTCAATAAAACTTGATCTAAAGATCTTTCGACATGCTGATTATGTATGTTAATCTTCTTTCCTTTTGGCTCTTTCGTAAATAGATAGGTATAGGGTAAGGGGTCAAAATCGTAGATATGTCCAAAACTTGCAGGAGTTCACTGATATGCTGATTACGACCGCGCTCATTTCGCATGATAATTTCATGAGTTTCTGGAATTTAGACTAGCTTGAGAAGTGAAATGAGTGTCTGTTTGAATGCTGCCAATTACAATAACTCCACAATAAGGCGTTACTGTAGCGAGCAGCATGATATTTGTAATCAGCATACTGAAAACCTTTCTGAGCCAAGTTTTGAGCGAATTTGTAACTTCAACCTACCTAATACACCTATCGTAACCCAAAAGAATATTTCTCCATGCAAACATAATATGATACACATGTTCACCGTGGTATCGGTGAAGTTTCGGGAAAGTCTGTGAGTTTCGACCCCCTACCATGCACCTAACGTAATCAATGACGTTTTGATGCGGAAAAAGTGTGATATTCGTTGTCAGCATGTCGACTAAATCCTCTGTGTAGTTTCAGCAAGGACTGAGATTTTGACGCCATATCGTATGCCTACCGTAACCTCCCACAGGGTCAATCACGAAGCATGGTAGGCTACCATGCTTCGTAATTGACAAGTCTACTCCCCCTCTCTCCTGATAGATTTTCAATCTGCAGTTTAAAATATCGCAGAGTGATAGAATAAATAATATTCAGTCCTTTTCACAATTTTCAGAACCATACATAGTAAAGATCCGAAATTTTTTTTAAAATTGTACAAGATCTGAGTATTCATCTGGAATATGCATCTCCTGTATGGAGCCCTTTTCTCAAAAAAGCAATGAGAAATTGGAGAAAATACAAAAGACTTTTACTAGAATCCTCTACAATGCTTTCCAGATTCAGGATATCCGCAATTCCTTACCGTCGTACCACGATCGTCTCAAAAGTTTGTAACTTCAAAGTTTGAAATACTCAGATAATCGCCGGGGGCAGGCGGTCCGCAAACTCGCACTTTTCTGCAGACGGTCAGCAGAATTTTGGGGCATGGTTAAACCTTCAGCGGGCGGCACTTCCTTTACGGTCGTATATTCTGCCAGTGGGCAGCAATACAGCTTTCTTTGCAAGCGCTCGGCACATAATTTCTTTCAGTAAGCGCTGGCCAAACATTCAGAAGCGCTCGGACTCTTTTTACGCAGTTTCGGGCGTACGTCGAGAAAAGGTGAGGCTCTAGGTGGCAGAGGTGCCATCGATGGTTTTAGTACCCAAGTTTGGGGTGCTTTTCTGCGGAAGGTACCTACGGGCTATGCGGTCCTTCGCAAAGGACCGTGCGGCCCACAACAATTTTGCATATTCTTGCGGAAATTCCGCGAGAATGCGGTTACTGCGCCGCAACTTATCTACAGAAAAACCGCGATTTTCTCAGAGCGTTCGTCTAAAAATTAGCCAAAATTATTCCAAATTTCTGCCAGCGGACCGCAAGAAATTAGCGAACTATTTCCGGTGCTCGCTTGCTCAAAATTCGCATGGCCGCCTGCCTCCGGCGATTATCTGAGTAGAGACGGATTGTAAGCGACCTAAGGCTTTGTTTTCGAGTCTTGCGATTCGAAACAAAACTTAGAGCTAGCAAATACTGGGTCTTCAAATCTTGCATTCAGAGAACAGGTGGGTTTTATCTTTATTATCGCAAACTTGGCAATAGAAGATTTCTGATACTTTCAACCCTTTTATTTGGCCGTACAGCTAGATGGATATCACTTCTTCCGATAGACTTGATACAACATGAAAATTGTCATGTTTTTCGAAAGAAATTAGATCGATTAAATGTTCTTAATATTTTAAAGATAACGGATTTCTAGATCTCGTTATATGCTTTTCTGTGGTCGTCTACACATTAATGTGTTCATTCGGTGTTCTCTGGGTTTCAAGCTGCAATTTCGTGACGTAATCAGTACTACAATGGCTTGCAAATGTTTGTGTTGGTGAACGTCGGAGCAAAAACTGCAAGAAAATATCCAGAAATGAGATTTTTGAGCAAGTTGAGCTT